CCCCAAAACCCCAAAACCCCAAAACCCCTTTACTCGAAAATTTGAGTAATTTATAAATAAGTATAATTTACAAGAATAAAATTTATTTAAATGACATCTTCATTGCAGCAATAGTAGAAAGACACAGAGAACTCTTTAGCTTAGTTATTTTATTTAACGGGACAAGCAGAACTATAGTTTGAAGACATTAGGACAGAACTGTTTAATATTCCAAACTTTTCAGCTGAAAAAGCATTTAAATTGATTGATAACTAGAATAAAGGTCTCATTGATACAGACTAGCTTAGAGCATTTCTGAAAAACTATGCAGTTATTTGGGACTACAAAGAAGCTCAGCTTTTCATAGATGAGTTTGATGATATACCCAAAGATGGAAGACTCAGTATCGTGGAATTTGAAAGAATCATAGAGACCCTTTATTACTTGCCTTAGACCAATAGCATTGATAATATGAGATCATAGAGATCTTAAATGTCTTCAAATAGCAAAAGAGATATGGGAATCAAAATGGCAAAACTTATTGAGAGTTACTACCTACATATACTTTAAAAGAATCAATTCAAGCTCTAAAATTTCGAGAAAATGACAGACCAAGACTTGTTTAATGTCTTAGATCTTAAGAATAGGAAAGGTTACCTAAGTGATTAAGATATAGAAGATCTTTTGGCAAAGCATAGACTTATTGATTTGTAAAGCCACAATAGCTAGCTTCTAACTTAATAGATACTTAAGAGAGTAGATAGAGATCAAAACCAGTAAATCTCCTTTGAAGATTTTAAACAATTCCTCAATCATATACCTCTAAGTGTAGATTCTTACAGATAAAAGCAAGAAGAGTTCAAAAATTCAATTTAAAAGATCAATATAACTTCTTAGCTATCTTAAGAATCAGAACCCTCGATAAGATAAAAAAAGAATGTGAAATAAGAGCAGCAATAATAATAAACAGTGTTTAAACAGCAGTAGCAATAGTAGTAAACTAATAATTATCAAGAGTAATAGAAGGGTTCAAGGTAAAATAATCCGAGATAAAATACCTAAAACTCTTAGAATAATGTCAATTAAAATTAGGATCAAAACAATGAATAGGAAGACAACTAGAGAAATGCAAGAATTTATTCACCTATGAGATACAAGTAAAGTGCCTTTAACTAATCAAGAATGATGTATGAGCAAGATTAGGAGTTATATTTAAGCTAATCTTCGCCTTAAAAGTAACATAATCCATCCATTCAATCGAATCCAAGGTAAACAAATTAAGAGAGTCCAGCTTTTGGAAGTTCCTAGCAATAACTAAGAATTAATGAAGATAGCCCAGAGAAAAAAAGACTAGATGAGCAAGATGCAAGTTTGAAGTTAACATTTTCGAAGTAATATTTCGACGAACGCCATCACTCCAATACTTTACTAGACTATCTTCTAAAGGTGGTTAACACGGAATCTTCTATTGAGGAGAAAAGAGAACAATGTGCTCAGCAAACGTAGTTCAATCTTTATGAGACTTTTAGATATTTCGATGTATTCTCTAGAGGCTATATCTATGCTAAGGATGTGCTAAAAGGTATGCATGAACTTGGATTGAAAGAAACTACAGATGATGATATCATGCTACTATATAAGAGATATGACACAGATTAGGATGGAACTATCAGATTCTCAGAGTTCTCGCATATATTCGAACCAATAAACGAAGACAGCTGTGAAGCACTTCTTGAGAGAAAGCCTGCTTCCCTTGAAAAAGAATTTAAGGAGTTTATGTTTACTTACCAAGGCAAGAAGGCATTGACTGAGTTTCTTTCATCAGTAATTTAGGGGGAGAGAGAACATAAATAGTTTAGGTAGATATTCAAATAAACCTTGAGTTAAGATAATATAGGGTTCAAAAATCTTTATGACCTAATTTAGCATGACAAATTAACCGAGGACTATGTGAGCGAAGAATCTTTGGTCAGATTTATGAATGAATGTGAGGTCATGGTTACTGGATCAGAGATCAAGCTACTCTATAAGATATTTGACAGAAATAGAGACGGTTTAATAAATTTTGATGAATTTTTTGGTGTATTAAACAGCTGAATGCTGATTGAATTTTACTAAAAGCATAATAAAAATTGAAATGATAAAATTATGATTTAAATTCCTATTCTTAATTTTATTATGAAATTAAGTTTAATTTCATAATTACATCAGCTTATTCATCACATTATCATATGTTCTATTTATCGCAGCAGCAGCTTAAAGCAATTTACATCATTCAAATAGGTTATTGAACTCTTCATAAGAACTGAACCTATCATTAAAGTTCTTATTATCGTCCTCCACATATAATATTCCATCTTTTTCTTTGACATGCTTGCTTCTGTTGTATTTGCACACGTGGTATAAAATGCTCCTGACTTTTTCATTCTCTGAGATGAAGTTGAAGCAGTTCAGGATGGAAAGCTTTGCCTCGACACAAATCTTAAAGTCATCCCAGCTATCAAAAAGGTCTCTTTTGCATTCAGGGAAATCTCCACTGGCTAACTCGCAGATAGCCAGAAATTCCATAGAGTCGTCCCATCTGTAGAGTTAGCGCATATCCTCTTGATTATAGAAGAGATCCATGTCAAATGTATACTCACCATTTATCTCTATGCACTCTTCATCTCTCTTGTACTCCCACTTCGAATCATCATAGAGAGCAGTCAGATTGAATGAGCCAAGTGATTTAGTAAGTAACTCTTTTGAGATCCCAAAGTCTTAGTAATAATTTTCTTTGCATTGATCATATATTGTTCCAACGTAACTATCCTTTAAGTATAGAGTTAAGTATATCTTTTAAACATAGTACATTTATGCAAAATAAGTCAACTATTCCATGATGCATTTCTATTAATCGTCTTCTCCAATGCATTACTTATAGGCTGTTTAAAACTCAAAGCATAACTCATACCAGAAACCAGTCAACAAAACATTAGCCATCAATTCATTCTCGTAGCAATAAAGCTGTTTATTCTTAGCATAGTCAACCAACTCTGTCTGCTTCATCTATATATTAGTGAAGTTTTTATTTTTCTCATCATAGCAGGTATACTATTCCATTACAACACACTCATTTTCTTTTGATTCTAAGCTTTTGAGGACTTATCTATCATCTAAAAAGTTATTCTAGCTTAGAATCTAATTCATTGCAAACAAGCACTTCAGTACTTTCGTGTTAAAATGTTTTTAGGTCATCGCCTTTCCTATTTACTTAGTCTTAATAGCCTCCGATTCATAGAAGGAATAGCCAAATAAAACTACCAAAACTAGGTATAAAAAAAGATGTTTGCTTATTAAAGAAGACATTAATAATTTAAATGAGTTAATTTCTTGGTCTATTTCACGATCTTATTATTCACTCCTCTTGGGGTTTTGGGGTTTTGGGG